GGAGAACATGCATTGCCATATACTTTTTAGCACCAAGGCATTTTTGTCTTTGAATGTAGCAAAAGCAAACAAGTAGGTAGGATTTTCCTCAGGTGTGACCCTTCCTAGGGCTGAGGAAAAAAAAGTGAAGGCCTTCAAACTTCTTCAAACACACACAGATCTGATTCCAGTGTAGCAAGTCTGTGACTGATGCAGCCAGAGGCATCCTGGAAGATGGTGAACAGAGAAGGTGGAACAAATGAGATGCAAAAGGCTGACTACTCTGCCTGCCAGCTAGCGTAAGTCTGGTGTTAGGACGAAACTAGAAAAACACGGGAAGGTTACCTACTGATTGGTGTGACAGACAATCAGCAAACCTGCAGTCTGGGCCACTCTGGGATTATTCTGCATTTGAATATCTTTTTGCTACTTAGAATATCCAATATCTATAGCTATACTCACATTATTATGCCATCTATTATTCCAGTAAATTGCAAAATACAATTGGCCACCTGCCACACTGGGGTTCACCACATCTCCTGGAGTTGAATTGTCAATTAGAATTCTCTGCTAGAGAATCCTCAAAATAATTTATTAGGGTTCATCCAAACACAGAAGGGTCTCACATGGATGAATGCTACAAAACAGCCCCCTCCCCAAAGAACTCCACTGAAGAAGGCCATCTGGAATCGTGGAGCAGTGGAGAATTTTCTTAACAATTAGTGAAAACACAGCACCACCATTAGAGCCACTGGGCTTGAAACCAGGTGTGCCCTGCAAGCTGTTACCATGACAACTGAGGATAAACACTCAGGGTCATAGTTTGGTTTGTACTTTGTATATGTTCATTTGTTGTTGTTAGATGCCATCAAGTTTAGCTTCAACTCATAGAGACCTATGAACAACAGCATGTCTGCTAGCCAAGCCATCCCCTCATCTCTATCATGGTCAACCTTGTTGTGGTAGGTTTCGATTTCTCCAGAAAATGAGGAAGACTAGTGGTGGCACCACCAGCATTCTGTAGGAAAAGAGAAATCAATCCCTGTAGCTGAAATCCTTGAACCACAAAGTCAGCGACTCTGAGCTACCTTCTCTCAGAAAGTTTTACTTTAGAAACCGTTTAACCCCTACCTCAGATTGGTTCTATATTAAATATGAATTGTAAATAAACCATTTTTGTTCTGACACTCAACTAAACAAATGTCACATTATTTCCACATCACATTCTGACATTTCTTACAGGTTTTTATCTCTATTTTGCACAAACAATACCTTTTCTACTCTCCAGAAACAATTATCAAGGAAATTAAATGCTTAAAACTCACTTTGTATGGTGATGTCTTGCCTTTCTGAACCAAACATCACAGAGATTAAGAAATAAGCAATGGAGTCAGAGCCCTAGAAGCTTGAACTCAACCACCCTATATAAATAAGACTCCATCTGCCTATAAAATCCTAAACAAATTACATAACCTCTTTGGGCCTCGGTTTCATTCGTATTGCCCCCACCCAGTGGAATAAAAACAATTACCTTGCAAAATTATTAAGAGGATTTAAATAAATGATGTGTATTGAGTGTTTAACAAAAAAAAATTATTCTGCAAATAGTCAACTCTCAACAGATGCTAATTTGCTTCCTGCCACTACTCCCCTCTTCTCTCTTCTCCATAGGGCTTCCTCCTTGATTCTGAATGACTCTATTTTCAGGCTAATAAAGATAACAACAACAATGAAATGTGCTTCCACTCTCTGGAAGTTTCTAAATTAATAGCCTCAACTCAAGGATATAAGGTTTGCATATTAAAGCCTAATAATACATTAATTTACAGGGCTTATAAAGGAATGAGATGACCTTTTCCAAAAACACATAGTAAGAAGCCTAAACTCAGGAGTCGTGGCAATGAAAACTTATACTAGGAGTCATGACTGTAGAGCAATGTGATTGATTTATTAGCAAACATAAAAGATCTTGTATATACAATTAAATGGAGTCATTTACACTTCAGTGAGCTATAAAAATTCCTATGATGCTGCCAGATCCCAAACCAATTTCGAAACAATGCTAAACTGGCATACAGTCCAATATTTCATTCCCCTTTGATTTTTACTATTTATGCTATAGTCACTAATGCCACAGTTACGATACACCTGCTACTTATAAGTACTGGATACTTAAAGATGTACAATATTAACATATAGGGCACACTTCTGGCTAATTCCTTTTCTTTCTGGCTTAACCATCCCAAAGAGACTCATGTAGTGTCAGAAGATGTTGGATACGTGCTCACTGGTGTCAAGCACCTGGCCAAGGTCAATGTTTGTTGAGCTGGATGACTCTTCAGCTTAGAAAGGGGTCTCTTTCATCAGATCTGTTGAGCCCATCATTTTACTACCCTGCAGTTCTGAGAGTGTCTTCTTACCAGATTATTACAAGGAGACAGAAACTCTAAACAAGCTGGAACACACAATCTTACCCATTAAAGAAAAAGTGGCATTCCCACAAAGATTATCTCAATGCTGTTTCATTAGGATCAGAGAAAAATTAGCACCACCCCTCTTGAACACACACATCTCTAGCACCACCATCCAAAGAAATCATCTCTTTTGGAGGAAAGTTAAACTCCCATAGAGGGGAAAGAGGAAGCCTGAGACACCAGAGCAGGTATTAGGTCAATCACCTTCATTATACACCATAGTGAATGAAGTAGGACAGACGTAAGTGCAGTTACAAGCACTAGTGCTTCCTATGACTTAACCCAATCGGACTACTCACCTCCTTGACACACAGACCCAGGGGCCAAAGGAAAGTTCCTATCATTTGAGAACACTGGCATCAGCCCCTGGCACATATTATTATTCAGTCTAATGGTGATAGCCATTTCCACCACTTGCTCCCAACCAAGAGAGCCATTTGGCTAATGTCATTCCCAAGTTGAGAAGACACAACCCCAAACCCAGGGTATTCACATGACTCCACCAGTGCAGCCAAAGCTGAGGAGAAAAATTGCTGGATCATGAGATGATCTGTCACTAACATTCCATCTGGAAACACGAACCAAACCAAACAGTTGCCACTGAATCAACTTCACCTCTTGGTGACCCCACCTGTGTTGGAGTAGAACACAGCACAGTAATCTACAGAGTTTTTAATAACTGATTTGTCAGAAGTAGACCGTCTTATGAGGCACCTCTGGACAGACTCAAGACTCCAAACTTTGGGTTTAGCAGTTCAACATACCAACCATTCGTATCATCCAGAGACATCACATCTAGAGAGGGCCAATGAGACCATGTCTCAAATTGTTGTCAGTTGTCTTCAAAGAGGCTTGTACACATGGTGACCTCATGTATAACAAAGCAAAATGGTACTGGATCCTGAATCATCTCCATGATCATTTCCTCATATTAGTCCTACTTAGTCATGGGCTTCTCGACAGAAAGCTTCAATCATACTAGTGTTTAGACCTTTCAGCCCTTCTAAGCCCAACTTTAAGCTGATTCTTTTTCTAAGCAGACAGATCTCATGAGTTAACTTGATTATCATCCATAGTGGTGCCAAGGGGAGTCTATTTTAAGAACTACACAAATAGTGTGTGTGGCACATTAATCAATGTAAAGTGCTAGAAGGTAACTAAAAGTGAGATGGATAATGAGCCCAAAAGGCATTCGGAAACAGAAAGAAATCCTCTCCCTGAACCACTTCCATAATTATACAGCAGGAAAGAATCCAAGGGAAGAATAAAGTGATCCCCACACTGATTAACAGGATTCAGTGTGATAGATGGGTTTAATTGAAATGTTTAATCATTACTGAGGATCATATTCTGGGCCCAGCTCACAGGTGTCCTATATTGAAACACTCCTGAAAGTAAAGGGATTTTCCAATTGCAGGTATAATTTTCCTGGTTTACTTTCTCAGTTTGTGTGATTAACCACAGCAATTTTCGGTGCAAAAAAAGAGGGGAGGGAAGAAACTCCAAACCAGATTTATCATTGCTTTCAAGTATACAACTGAAACTATCAAAAGGGACTCAACCTTAACCTCTCTAGAATTTCTTTTTTCCATCTAACTAGTTAATGTCAAGGTCAAAATTCTTAACCACAGTTATGAGCTTAAGAGCTAAAAGAATTCCTTCAGTCATTTCTTTGGATGAGAAAAACCATTAAAATTTCTTTCCATATCATGCATCTCAGATTAGTTTCAAACCATATTATGTAGCATACTAGGTTCAAAGCCCCTTGCAGAAGAATACTGGAAATTTCTTTTCAGGACTTAAGGTTTATGATTCACCAGCCACTTTGACTGCCATAGGACAGGGCATATAGACAAAAACAATGTGTCTTAAGAAATCAAAGAGCTGTTCTTCCTTTTATCAAACTAGGGATATAGTTCCTCAGAAGCATTTGTAAAATTCTACCTGATTGATAACTCTGCTATGGCTTAAAATGCTATTAACTGTACTTTAGAAAAAGTGTGGCTTCCACTTTTTAAAAAAAACTTACCAGCTCTTAGTCTCTGAAAGCAAAAGGAACCTGCTACACTTATGTTTTCCCAAATTGCATAGTTGAGGCAAATTCATTTGTGCTTTGTAGCAAAACTCAGAAGGTGTTCCTAGCTACAAAACGTAGCTTTGCAAAAGCAAAGTCACGATCAAGCTCACCTGTGCTTGAAGTATGCTAATGATATGCACTGCCTTTTCACGATTTTCTTAGCCGTGTCCCTCAGTCTTACAGCACAATGGAGCCCAAATTTGAAATTAATGTAGCAGAAATGTTAACACATCGATCTTAAACTTCTCCTTCTGGGAGAGAAGGAGAAAAGGCTCTTAGTCTTGAGGTATCCAGCCCTCAATCAACAGTGGCTGTTTATGCTGAGTCTGGTTGGTTTGAGGATTGTGTCTTTAGAAGTTAAAAAGAAAAGAAAAAAAAAAGGAGAGAAGGCACGGGTGTTTCTCAAGTTGCCATGTTCAACTCAACCAACGAAATGCAGAGTCTCGTGTTTTCAAGCTTCAGGAGTGAGGCTAGACTGCAGTGGGCCTTTCTTCCAAGCCCGGGTTGGCGGAGGCGCTTATTGCTTCGGGGAAGGGCCCGGCGTAGGTCTGCGCCGCGGCCGCCTGCAGCCCCTTGTGCGGCCGAGGCTCGTCGGGGAAGTCGGCGTGGGAGCCGAAGGCCGGGCACGACCTGGTCCGGGCGGAGCCCGCGGGGTGGCGGCGGCCCACCGCCTCGCTCACCGTGTGCAGCGGGAACTCCCGCCAGCGCCGCCGCTGCAGCTCCTCCTCCTTGTACTTAATGGAGTACCAGGCCAGAAAAATGAAAACGAAGCCCACGAACTTGAGGCCGGCCGCCAGGCCGAAGTAGACGAAGCGGAAGGACGTGACGTTGTACTCCCAGCAGGAGCCCTGCACGCCGCACTCCTGCTGCCAGAGCATGCAGGTGGTGTCGATGACTGCGCCGAAGTAGATCGGGGTAGGAATGTACGCTGGAGGCGGGCGGGGAGAGAGCAGGAGGAAACTGTTAGCACGTCTGTGCAGGGCAAACGGCTGGTGCATCTGCTCGGAACTTGTTCCAAAACCAAACTAGACACACTGCTGGCGAGTCACACAGCCAAGGAGGGCAAACAGGCTGGGGACTTGCAGAACTTGACCACCCCAAAACCATACTAGACAATTTGCTGGTGAGTCACTTTCGCGTGTTGCAGAATAGAACTGCACCATCTCCTTAATCTCCTGATTCAGAACTGGCTTTGACAAGCACTGTGGCAATTGGACAATTAAAACAGACTTACAAAGGGGGGCGGGGAAGAAGAACGAACTGGGGAGGAGGGTGGAGAAAATAGTGCAACAATGAATTAATGAAAACCCAAAATCTCTGTAAATGTACATTAAAATTAATAAAATTTAATAATAAAAAATAATTAAAAAAAAAAAAGAACTGCACCATCGAGTTTCCCCACAGAAGCGGACTGCCAGACCTTTCCTCTGCATTGCCACAGGGTGGCTCTGAGTTACCATGTTAATATTTGAACACCAACAGTTTAATACCACCCAGAAACCTGGCCACCAGCTAAGGGGAGTAATTTCCTTACATTCTTTTTCTTCACATGTAACTGACATCTAAATTGTTGTGTGCCAGTGGAGTTGGAACTGACTTATAGTTAACCCTCCAGAGGGTTTTCAAAGGTTGTAAATCACATGGGAGGAAACTGCCCATCTGCCTCCAGTGGAGCAGCTGGTGGATTCAAACTTCATGCTTTGGGGTTGGAAGGGCAGCTTCCTACAACTAGGCAAATATAATTGCTTTTTTAAAAAGTGTACACTACATTGTAAATACTTAAAGCCTTCCAGTTTACAACTCCACACGGTATTTTACTGACCAAAGTTTTTTTTTTTTATGTAAAAGAAACCAGCAGTGTGTCTAGTTTGCTTTTTTACACTCCCCACACCACACTGATGCCTTCAGGAAATCCATGGGAAATTAGCATGTTCTGTGTAAAAAGCAAAACTAAATGTTTCTGTTATGCACAGATGGACACCATGGCTCACGACAGTGGAACATGCTAATGAGTCTCTTCTATTAATAAATAAAAAGTCTGGTAGGGTGGTGGTTGTTATGTGCATTGAGTCAGAACTGACCCATAGCCGACCCTCCAGCAGGTTTTCAGAGGCAGTAAATCATACAGGAGGAAACTGCCCATCCGTCTCCCATGGAGCAGCCACCAGTTTCTAATATTAATTTGGGCTTTAAAAAAGAATCCTTGTTTTCTCCCCTCTCTTTCTCTCAGAAAATTGCTAGGTATACTGTTAACTTAGTTCATTAAACAGACTAATATTCAAGGCATGGCAAGTATGGAATGTGCCCTGTGCACCACCTGAAGGGGGCACCACTGAGCAGTTTCTAGTAACCTCTTCATATTCCATCACCAGCTATGAGACATCACACAGGGAGTTAAAACTAGTACTTTGCATTTGAGAACCTCCATGGGCAAAGGCAGACTGTATGGTCCTATTCTGCTGAATGATGAAGAGAAAGAGACACTGGACACACAGGTAGACCAACTTTCAGCAGCAAAAGCAAGGAAGGTGTACTTGACATTTTCATGTAGTGTCATAACATGTCAAGTAAAGAACTGATGAGCTTGATTTTGCTTTGGGCTAATATTATGGTAACACTATCTAAAAGATGGGTGCCAGATGTTTGGACTGGGGCACGACTGCAGAGCTTGCCAATGACACTGGTTTCCAGACACAGCCCTCTCTCAACAAATACGTTATTACTGTGTGCTGCTGAGTTGGAATTGACTCAAAGCTGACCCTCCAGGGGGTTTTCAGAGGCTGCAACTCCCATGGGAGAAGAATAGTCATCCTCCACCTGAACAGAGGGTGCATTCGAACCACCTGCTCAGAGGTCTCTATAAAAAATATAGTACCACCACTTGCCAATTGCTGTGTAGTCTATTTTAACTCATGGTGACTCCATGAGTCCTTTGTCCCCCACTTCTCAGCTTCAGAGTAGAACTGTGCTTCACAGAGTTTTCAACGGCTGCTTACTCTGAACTAGGTCACCAGCCCTTTCTTCTGAGGTGCCTCTGGGTGGACTAGAACTTTCAGTCTTTTAGTTAGCAGTCAAGTATGTTAACCACTTACACCACCCACAGCCTAGTTGATAAAGACTTGTGCTCCCAACCCAAAGGCAGGAGGTTTGAATTACAAGCTGCTTTGCAGGTGAAAGATGGACAATCGCCTCTCTTGTAATTTATAGCCTCTAAATCCTACTGGAGGCTCACTTATGAGTTGCTTCTGACTCGATGGCACATGACAACATTACCCATAAAATGAGAACCAATTTTCACAACATATATGTAAAAAAGGTCGAAAGGTACTCTAGGAAAATAAACCCCTCCAAATTGCTTGCTTCAGAATGTCTTATTGTACAAAACTCTCAGGGGAATTTAACTCAAGTTATGTTCATAGTGAAAAGGAAACTCATCTAAATTTGGTTTTTGTTTGCTTTATCAAACAACAAATCTGTTCCGCTTTTAAATTAAGCCAGAAAATATGGAAGTATACCCTCACCACTAGCCTGTGACATCCGAGCTACTTAGGGGAACAGATGACTTGACCTGCCCTTTTCAAGGGACAGTGAGAAGTTTCCAGCTGCAGAGGGGCACAAAAAAACACATTTGGAAATTCAAGCACATACCAAGTGTTCGCAACAAAACAAACTGCATGCCCAGAGCAAAAGGTCTCTCCTCGTCTTCTACAGATCTAGGGAAAGAAAGGGGGGGAGAGGCTTTTAAATAATGACTCCAAGGCAGTGGAGGCCAAATCAGGCCTTCCAAAGAGATGCTGTGCCAAAATAATGAATGCATTAAAATGTACTAACACTAGCCAAGCAAAACCAGCAATGGCTAAATCACTGACCAAAGGTCTCCATCCACAGCGAGTTGGCATCCACAGCGCTTCTCTGGCAGTTCAAATCCACCAGCTAGCTGCTCTGCAGGAGAAAGCCGGGCACCCTTCTCCCATGCAGTTAACCATTTACAACCTCTGAAAATCAGGCCGGCCAGCTACCACAATGTTATCACCAGGCTGACAGCTGACGAGGCAAAGGAGGTACTGAGCCTCAAAATTAATTCTATTTTAGATATAATAATTTATGTATATTTTTATCCTCACGTTCTGCATCCTTATTCTCACTTGGCTTGCATTTTCTAGAACAGTAAACATGCACACTGAAAATGATGTCCATAATTCTTTAAAGGAAAATACAGAAAAAAGAGGAAAACATAAAAATGCATATATAGTCAGGAAAAGCTATAAAGCAAACAATTGAGAAGTCAGAGAAAAAATTAGTCCCTACCAACCACGTCACTTTTGTCTTCTAAAACATATGCTTCATGTAATTCCTGTATCACAGGTATACTAGGTGTACTTATTATGTACCAGCAAGTCCAAACCGACTCAGAACGGACCTTTCAGTGGGTTTTCCAAGGTTGTAAATCTCATGAGAGGAGATTCCCCATCTTACTCCCTTGGAATTGCTGGTGGATGTGAACCTGCCTTTGGGTTTAGAGTGCAGTTGCTTACCCACTAGGTAAAACAGAGGTCCCATCAGCAGACTAGCAGTGTTATGTCCAATTCACTTTCCAACTAACATTGTTATCTCTGAAATTTTTGTTTAGAAGCTAAATGGTAACTTCTTAATGTTTGAGCACTAAAGAATGGGAAACCCTTGTGGGGTTCCCCCCCCCTTCTCTTACGAAGTTCTAAGAATTAAAGCATTTAATTGAGTAAATTTATTTAAGATACATGTTTTAAAGAGGAAAATGATGACATATTTTATCCTTTCTATCCCTCAAAACATAAAGTCCCAGAAATATGATGTAAAATTCCAAAAAAAAGTCCCTTGTCTCACTTCCCCAATGTCTTTATTTTTTTCACCGAGATTACAGAGTGCTGTAATATAGTTGTCACTCCACAAATGTGTGCTTATTGGGAAGTTAAGTGAATGTAAGTCAATGCGCTTTTCATGTACTATTCTCTTATTATCAAGGAACAACTCTGAGATGTCTAAATTAACAGAAAAGTAGCCAAATATATGCACCACATAAGTTGTCCAATGCTGAAGCAGTGAAGTCACTTTCTACCAGGAGTCCAGCACTGGGGTTTCCACAGAGCCAGAGAGTCAAAAACATAGGAAGTGTCAATAACAAATGGAATCCATTCCCAATTTCCTCATCACACTGGCTTCTGGGCCCCCAAAGCTGCCATGCATGTGCTCTGCCTTCCTTTTAAGTCCCTAGTTTTTGCAACAAATACCAACACACTGAATTTGACCGTTTTGATTTTGAATACGTTAGTATCGACATTTTTAATAGGCCAAAAGCACATTCCATATCTTCTTATATACAAACAGCACATAAAACAGGACCCATAACTAATATGACAAAGAATGAACAATATAAACAGCAGGGGGAGGCATTTTCCTCGTCTACCCCAGCATTTTAAATGACTGTAAAGTTCATGACATCCGCATTTTGAACTGCAGGGATGGCATCTGCTGTCAACGATCTTGGAATTACAAACTTTCTCACAGCTGGAGGTACTGTCCACTTGTAGGGACGCCATTTAGTAACCCCTTTTGTGGTTTAGCTTCTTCCAGCCTAAGAGAACTTCTTCAAACCTGAGAGAACGCCTAGCCTTCAACTCTTAAAAACAAACCTTTTACAATTCAGACTTCAGGAACTAAAGGCATCCAGAAGATACTTCACTAAACCATGGGACTAAGACTCAACTGAATAAAGTAAGTTCTAGAGCATGAAATGTTGTCAGGTGCTGATGAATGAACCACCTCTCCTAGCGGCCCTATGAACAGTGGTCTGAATTTCTCCTGTGCATCCTCGGGATCTCTGATACCTCTGAGCCCACTGTTACAGACCCAGGGTCAATCCATCCTGTTGAGGGAACCTGCATCTTTCCCAGCATGATGTCTATTTCCAGAGACTGGCTGCTTCTGATGTTATAACCTCCCTTTCCTTTGCTGACTTCGGAAAAAAACACATTCTTCTAAAGTTCACCAGATCAATGTCTGAAAACTCTCCTGGAGAATTAAGAGTCCAAGTTCGTTTTCTTTATTTTTACCATATCAACTTCCTAGTCCTGGAACTCGCCTTCCAAGCACCTATGATTCACCCTTTACACTGAGGCCTGTTCTCACCTGAGTGTTACTATGATGGCTGATGGCTGCGCACAGGCTGTGATGAAGGTGACTATGAAAAGAAAAATTAAGAAGGGAATAAGCGTGTTACAAGTCCGTTTACACTTCCCGGACACAGCGTAGCCGTTCTCGTTGAGATAGGTTTTGACGATGACCACGCGGAGCTGACTGCGCTGTCCCACTGTGGGCGGAGTGATCACTTGTCGGCTCTGGACACAGGTGCATTCCGTGTAATTCCGAATCTATGTGGACAAAACAGAGATCTTTTGTATGCTAATCAATAGGGAAATGAGACAGAGGAATATTACTGCAAATTCATAAAAAAAGCTGCACAATTATGCCAGTAATTTTTAATGCAAAAAAAGAAATTGTCTTGGAATACATTGCCCTCATTTCGAAGAGCTAAGGGTCAATATTGTATAAGGCCACTATTACAAAAAGCTAAAGCAAGATTTCAACTCAGAGTTATTGTTGGATGGTTACTTGGAGTGGGTTAGGAGGAAGAGGAGAGTAAAAGCAGTAAGAAGTTAATAGACATTGATAAGATGAATGAAGGGAAAGGCAGTTACAATAAGGGATGATCAGCACAATATCACTAAAGAATGGGAAGATACAAAAAGGTAGATAAGAAATGCGGTCAAGAGCAGAAACCCAGAGATACAGGAAAAATGAACAGATGTACGTGGGTGAAAAGGACTACATTCAGGTCCATATGTTAGTCTGGAGATAGTTCGACACTTATTGGTATTTTCTATAAGTGCATCTATTGTATGGCAGAGCAAATAGAGGGCAATGCTTTAGAGGCTTCTTAAGTAATAATAACCAAACACTGTGAGGGAATGAGTTGCTGTTTCAGAGCTCTTGCTACCATAGTCTTTGGGACATCACGGTCAAATGGCATAACTTAGTCCACAGAGACAGTGTTCTACATCCTACTTTGGTAAGTAACAACTCAGGTCTTAAGAGCTTTCAAACAGTCATCTAAGGTATAACCATAGGCTCTTCTGGGTCTGGAACAAAGAAGATGTGTATAAAACAGCAGTCCAAAGGACTAATGGGCCATATGAACTTCAAGCTCTGTGGCCCTGAGACCAGAAGAAGTAGGTAGTGCCCGGCCACCCCACTGACCGCTCCTCAAAGGGATCACAGTAGAAGCTCCTGAGCACAATGTGAGGAAATGTGGAACAAAACGAAACATTTATTTTAAAAGGCCAGGGTTACGGGTCTGAAGAGGTCTGAAGGTGGAATCAAGGAGACTATGACCTTTAGTCCCCTCTCAAGCCTGGAATAAAACTCATCTCTGCGTGACTCAACTTTCAGTCATAAGACAGGCTTATAAGATAATCAGAAACACCAGGGAGGCACTTACTTCTTAGATTAAGCAACTAATGAAGGTCAGAAAGTAGCATTTGCCCAAGGAATAAATCTCCAAAAGCAGGGAAGGATAGACTGGAGGGATTCATGGAAAGAGAATTGCAGGGAAGAAATGGGGAAAGTGCAGTTACATTACAGGTATTATAATTAGTGCTAGAAAATTATATTTGGGTGGGTGATTAAAAGCCAATATGCTTTATAAACTCACACAAATCACAATAAAAAATTCAAATAGACAAAAGTTAAGGATCCAAGCTGTGCATCTGTCAACACCAAAATCTGCTCATCAAGTTTTGTTTTCAACTCAAACTGTTCTAAGAAACTTTCAGTACTCAATTCCGTAAAATGTATATTCTGCACCCTGATTTTTGTTATATGCTGCTGTGACTCCTGTTTAACTCTTGTTAGAGGTCCTGTTGGACCATCCGAGCAGACCAGCCACTCAAAGGCGAGCCACATCTTGCTTCATTTTGTGTCCACTACAACATCTAGTGTGACCCTGAGCAGACTGGGCCCTAATGTCAATATCTGCACAATAAAGATAGGAACCTTGAAAACATCATGTCTGAGAAGTAACTAGGCACAATAGCATAAATATTGTATGTTTCCACTATTAGAAAATATATGGAATAGACCATTGTACAAATACCTAACTTTATTAGTATCTAGAAAGGGAGAATGGGGACTCATTGTTTAGGGGACACTGAGCTTCTGTGAAAAGTGATGGTGAATTTGGAAACGGAGAGTAGTGATAATTGTAAAACATTAAGTGCAAGTAATGCTATCCAACTGAACATGTGAAGGATGTTAGAATAGCAAATGTTTTGTTACATACATAATTATCACAATAGAAAAATTAAATAATAAATGTAGGAGAGAAAAAGATACATCTTCCTTGTGAACTGCCTAGATTTCTACTCAAAGAAATGCAAAGGTTTTAAAAAATACAGCATCACTGGGTATTACTTATCTGATACCAAAACAAGCCAGCAAATTGTTTCATTAACTGACAAATCAGTCAGATAATCTATTAGCATATTCTGTTGTCTTTTAGAGAATGGACATCAGCTGAACTCACTGTCATTTACTTAGAAGACAGGTGCTATTTGGTCTCCCAACATAAAGAACTGATGGCCTGTTGAAGGAATGAGGGCTCCATAGCAGAGGACCCACTTATTACCCACGAAGGACCTTCCCACCAGGAACAGATTTAATTGAATCTTTCAACATGGCCACAACATGGATCTCACCAAATACAGAATGGACAGTCAGCTGCAGCATTTCTCTTTTTACCACTTTAATTTAAAACTTGGATATCAAATGTGACATGCCCCAAACACACATAAATTATACAACCCCTTATCAGTTAGACAGAAAAAAAGCAAATACACTTTAACCTTTCATTAAAACAGCCTCCTATAATCTGCCCTAATATAAAAAATTAGACCAGTCTCAATAAAGATCTGAGTATAATATGAAAAACCTTCTCTCACAGTCTTTCAGCCTATTTATAATTCACAGGGAAGGCAATTCTCAAAATAGCCTATTCTTGAACTGACAAAAAATGTCTTTACTCAGAAAGTTAAAAAAAAAAAAGCTTGAACTGATAGTCCATGAAAAATAGCCACCGACCATCCTCGCAGACTTCCGTCTGAGGAGGTATTCTAGTCCCTTCTGTCTACTCCACATGCAGTGGCCTGCCTGACCTTCAAGTCTACCACCCAGATTCTGTCAGAGTCACAAATGGAAGGTCCAGTGCTCAACCTTATCAAGTTTCCCTGAGTTGGCACAGAACGTAAAGTAGGAGAGGGCTGACACGAAACTGTGATACCCAATTGCTCTAATCATCCTTGGAATAGAAATCAAAGTATTGCATAATTGTCTTTCCTCTAGGTTTTGTCTAGCGGTATTTGTAGGTGATTTGAAAATAGAGACTGAAGCCATCACAGTTGCATATGAATTTCCACACGACCTTGTCACAGGATGTTAGATTAACAAAGAACATGAACTTGTGAAATATACTCACCCCCGTGCTAAGATTACCACTATTAACACAGCCAGCCAGACAAGGGTTAAAGTATGTAATTCCATCTGATCCACAGACTGGTTCATACTCATCTATTTTACAGCCACAGTTAACATTGCAGCTTCCTGTCAGATTCCGATGGGGCATGGTGAGAGACGGTCTGAGAGAGAAAAGCAGCAGGTCATAATCTACATTTATTACAGAACTAATTCGACAGCTCTTGATAATGAATAATCTACCCACTTTCAACATGATATTTCCATTACATTAAAGCAATGCTGTCATGAAATGCCCATTATAGACAATAATTTTTATAACTTTAAAACAAAGCAAGAAAGAGAGATATTTACATTTTCTGGTACTACAGATATGTTCTTCTCAAATAATCTGTCCTGTTTCATTCCACATTCTGTTTAAAATAAGAAGTCTGTGGTCTCATGGCCTTCCCATCTGAGTTTAGCAGTCTGGACCCTAGTCTCAAGGGGAACTCTGGTGGCCTGGTGGGTAAGGTGTTGCACTGCCAATCCAAAGACAGGCAGTTTGAACCCACTAGCTGCTCCACAGGAGAAAGATGGACAATCTTTCACAGCCTCTAAACATCCACAGGAGGACGGGCTGAGTTACCTTGATGGCACACACCACCACCACAACCTTAGTAGAACTTGCTACTCATTCACTGTAGGCTCTCAACTCTATGTCTTAATAAGACTTGGCCTCAGTTTCCTTAACTGTATAATGGAGAAAATAGATACTTTTCCTACCAAACCTGTAACTTCAATGTAAGGACATAAGCATGGAATACAAGAATGACCATTTGTCAACACAGGTTCCTGAGGCCACAAACTTGAATCACTCTAGAATAAACTGTCCAAGACAGACAAAGGGTTCTAGAAAATCAAGTGATATTCACATCACTAGTTTGAGTCAAATTACCGCTGAAGAAGGTTGAAGCATTCCTTCACTCAGGATAGGTTACAGTCAAATGTTGTGTTATTGTGACGGAGGAAAGTGAAGGATACAGGACTGAGGAAAGTAGCGTAAATGACACTAGAACAGCAGAGACAGGGCCCAGGGGAACCCCCACAGCAACTGAAAGGGACTCTAAGTACTTAGACGTAAAGACTTCTTTCCTTTCATTCTGTAGCCACCATTTCTGTGCATCACTGAGAAAACACTGTCCCTAAAGCTACGGGAATTAACCATACCCAGATCACTCATCAATACAGTTCAACCTTCCAACAAATATTTTTGAAGGCTTTATGTGTCAGAATCTATCTTTAATGACTATGGGGAGTAATGTCACTTAGTAGTGCACAGCACATCCCAACCATGCACATTACAAACATGAAGGGTTGTTGTCCAAAGGCTTTTCGCATGTGTCCTATTTCAATTTAGATAACCAAGTCCCAACATTTTAACAGGAAAAAGAAATCCAAAGTAATAGTAAAGCTTAATCAAGAAAGTCTGCTCTTGATAAAATAATCTGTTCTTCATTCATAGCAATCCACAAAGGAAAATGTGTTATAGCTGTCAGAATCCTATTCTTTTAAAGTCAGCATATACCACGAAAGTATTCTTTTAGACTAATCCTTCTCAATAGGGGCAACTTTGGCCCTCTGGAGACATTTGCCATTGTTAGGAGACATTTAGGATTTTCACAACAGAGGGGCTGCTGCTTGGGAAGAACTAAGGAAGGCCACTAAATGACCCACAAATGCCTAGGGTATCCAGAGAATTTTATCTAGGCTACTTTCCGCCACCTTCTTCCCCAGTAAACCTGAAAGCAACACCCCAAAGCCATTTTATTTATAACTCACAAGTTTGTTCTCTCTAGGTTTGCTCCCTTTCCTATAGGTAACCTTAATACTGAGTTTTACTCCAGACCTGACCCTGAATCCAGTGCCGGTGACAAAAAGGAAATACAACTGCCAGCAAAGCTCTGGGTTCAACTAGCCATCCCCACTGGACCCACCTGGGAAAACACTTTTCAGTCTAGAGGGGAGCAAATGACAGGAAAATAGCTTCTAACAGAACAAGAAGGCAAGCAGCTTTAACTCAAGACCACCAGTAACGTGATAAAGTATCCTCCCTTTCCCCCTTCACATCAATGCCCCTGTTCAGCATGAAGAAGCCAGAGAGTCTGCATCCAGTTCCCAAACCAATAAGACAGTTGGTTTAATTGCCATTGGAAAACGCTTACCATTCCCCTGTAGCATCTAGTCCCCACTGGATCCTTTTCATTTCCTTCACCTGCTACCCCCACCAACCAAATTGTGCAGCTCTGCAGCTGCATCCCTGCCCATCCTCACCCTTCTGCCCCCAACCCTCACCTCCTTGTACTCCCATTATGTTTTTCCCAATAAAATAAAAAAAAAACAAGATTAAAGGCAATAGCTTTTAAGAACTTACACCTCAAAATAAAAAAAAGAAATTCTTATAACTGCACCAAAAAGCAGCATTACCATAATTTGAGATATGAGTTATGCTGTCAAGGATTTCATTCTACCTGGATCCACAAACAACACCCATCCAACCAGCAATCAAGAGAGCAAACAAGGGTTATCAGTTTAAAGACTAAGGTGTGCCTGACCCTAGTCATGGTATTTTCGATTCATACACATGTGAAAGTTGGATAATGACAAATGAAGACCACAGAGGAATTGATTCCTTTGCATTAGGTATTGGTGAAGAATATGGAATAAACAATGAGCTGCCAAGAGAACAAATAAATTTGTCTTATAAGAAATGAAAACTAAGAAGCAAGGATGGCAAAACTTCATCTCACATACAATAGGCATGGAGGCGAATCCACCAGATGCTCTGCTGGAGAAGGAGGAACAATCTCCTCCTGTACCAGTCAGATCTGATCTGACAGTACACACACAAAAATAATGAAATAAAATTAAAAAATTTAAAAAAACAACAAAACAATAGGCATGGAGGGAAGAGTTCTTAAAAGATGTCATGCTTAGAAAACTAGAAAATCAGCCAAGGAGAGGAAAGCTCTCAATGACATTAAGTTACACTTGACTGACTTACATCTTTTTTTTTAAAATATATTTTAATTAAAGTTTATAAAGAACTTGGATTTCCATTCATTGCACATTTTCCTCCCTGTCCCACCTCCAGTTCTTTTTTTTCCTTTGGGAAAAAAAAGTTCTTTCATTGTTATACAGTCCCTGTCCCTGACCACTTTTCTATGCAACTCTTATTCTGTACTCTTGTCATGTCAATAATACCTAACCATATATAGTTTATACATATACTTTTATACAGTTTTCTCCCTTGTATGTTTCAATGCCGTGTACATTATTTATCCCCTCTTTTCTTAGTTTTCCTCCAAGCCCCACATCAGTCCAAATCTATAACAGGGGCATTATGCAGTATTTGTCTTTTTTTGACTGAGACATTTCACTCAGCATAATGTCCTTTTTGGTCAACCATTTTATATAATATTTCATGAATTCTTTGTTTTTCAGTGCTGCATAATATTCCTTTGTGTGAATATATTACAGCTTCTCTATCCATTTGTTTGTTGATGGGCACTTGGGTTGGTTCCAACTCTTTGCTATTGTGAACTAAGCAGCAATAAACATGAGTGTGCATATATCTGTTTGGGTGGCAGTTCTGGTTTCTTTAAGGTATATTCCCAGTGGTGGTATTGCTGGGTCAAATGTTATTTCTATTTCCAACTTTTGAGAAAGCCTTCCATAGAGGTTACACCATTTTACACTCCCACCAACAGTGAATAAGGGGTCCAGTTTCTCCATAACTTCACCAACATTTGTTGTTTGCTGCTTTGTTAAATTTTGCTATTCTTACTGGGGTGAGATGATATCTCATAGTTGTTTTGTGAATTTACATCTTAGTCAGAACTAACTCAGTGATATATAACAGCAGCAACTAGTATCATTCTGACAGGATTCTGGTGTACATTAAAATTTGTTTCAACAGCATATAAGAAAATTAAACTGTAAACTATGACCAAATAAAAAATATTTTCTAAATCTGCATGGTTTGTCACTTAAAACGATGGACTTCAATACCATATCAATATTATTATTATTCATGTTGCTGTTTAGAAATAAGATGACAGAAGAAGAATCAGTGCCATTCAATTGTGGTGATGGAAAGAAGTAGTGAATATTCCATGGATTGCCAAAGGAAAAAACAAATCTGTCTTGGAGAAAGTACAACTAGGGTGTTCCTAAGAGGCAAGGATGGTGAGACATGACCTTACATACCTCGGGCATGTTGCCAAGAGGGGTCAAGACTTCGGTTTTTTTCAAATTGTTTTTATTATTAATTTCAGTGAAAATTTACGGAGACTTTGGATTTCCATTCATTCACTGTTGCACTTTTCTCCCCTCCCAACCCTCCCCCCACCCAGTACACTCTCCTCTTGGAAAAGTAAAAGAAAAATTCTTTCATTGTTTTACAATCCCTCCCTCCAGGTCTATTCCACTATGCAGCCTTCGTTCTGGACTTCCATCATGACAAAAATACCTAATCATACATCCCTTTTAAACAGTTTTCTCCCTCATCTGTGTCAATGCAGTATACATTATTGAATCCATCTTTCTCAGTCTCCTCCCAACCCCAATGTCAGTCCCGTTTTATAACAGTGGCACCATGCAGTATTTGTTCTTTTGTGACTGAGATACTTCACTCAACATAATGTCCTCCAGGGTCACCCATTTTTAATAATATTGCATGAGTTCCTTGTTTTTCAATGCAGCATAATATTCCATTGTGTGAATATACCACAGCTTCTCTATCCATTCATTTGTTGATGGGCACTTAGGTTGTTTTGAACTCCTTGCTATTGTGAACAAAGCCACGATACACATGGGTGTGCATATATCTGCTTGGGTGGCAGTTATGGTCTCTTTGGAGTATATTCCCAGTAGTGGAATTGCTGGGTCAAATGCTATCTCTATATGCAACTTTTTTAGAAAGCACCATACCGCCTTCCACAGTGGTTGTACCATTTTACACTTCCACCAACAGTGAATAAGGGTTCCAGTTTCTCCACAACCTCACCAGCATTTGTTGCTTGCTGTTGTTCTGTTAAATTTTGCTGCTCTGACTGGGGTGAGATGATATCTCATAGTTGTTTTTAGAGGGGTCAGTACTTGTAAAAGGACATCATGCTGGGAT